CTAATTAAGGAATTTAATTTAAGACGGCACTACGAGACAAAACGTCAGGATAAGCTGAAAACCTATATGCAGAGCAGTAACTACAGAAAGTAGAAGAGCTAAAGAAGAATCTGACTTTTCAGCAGATGTTTTTCACCAGAGCAAAATCACAAAGTGAAGCTGTTGTGAAAGCTTTATTGTAGCAGAGGAGCCAAATCAGCCCGGTACCACTCTGAAGAGCTGCATGATGAAGCTGTGCGATGTCTTGTGTCCAGACAAAACGCAGATTTTGGCAAATGTGAGCCTGAGCAGAAATACGATTGCTGATCAGGTTGGTGAGATGGCCACTGATTTAAGAACACAGTTGTGTGAAAGAAGCAAAAACTTTCTTGCATACTCTCTTGCTGTGGATGAAAGTACAGACACGATGGACATTGCACAGCTGACCATCTTCATCCGTGGAGAGGAAATATTGGACATTAAATCGATGCACAGGACAACGACAGGAAAAGACATTTTTTAAAACGTATGTCAAAGTGTAACCGACATCATACAGAGCTCCTTTGGCTGAGTTGGGGAAAAGTTCTCAATAGAGTTTTTGAGCTCATCAAGGAAATCTGTCAGTTCATGGACATGTATGATGCGGTAAAGGCATTTCAAGTGAAGCTGTCACAAATGCACCAGTGCAACCTGCCTCACTTTCCCTGTTGCCAAGTAATGTTGAACCAAGTCAGCGGACTTTGCTGAACTGCACCTGTGCAGATTCAGATGGAGCTGCAGTGTAATGATACACTCAAGGGAAAGTACACTGAATGGCCCGAAGAGTTTATTAGTTCAATTCCTGAAGCAAAGCCCAGCTCCATCTACATGCGGCTCCAACCTTGTGTATGCTTTCATTTATTTTTTCTGGGGGTTTTGGCAGCATGTTGTAACAGTCACAATGGTGTGGTGTCTCTTTAAGACAACCCAAGTCGAGGGTTAATGTTGTCATCCATATGCGCCACTGACTCTCTCTGGGATTATGAAGACACGTGCCTGCAAGCTTGTGCTTAACAAGGGACGGATTTATGTTTTCTTCTCCAGACCTTTTTTTTTTGTTTTGTTTGCAACGCTTGGGTTGTATGGACGCTGGGCAATATGTTGTGGAGCCGCAGCCGTTCAGCCGGGCTTTTATATGGTTGTTGAAGAAGGCGTATTAAAGAACCACCGTGAATTACCGATACCAGCGTGGGTGTGTGTTCTTCCGACTAGCCTGCTAGGTGTTTTGCCGCCTCCTCTCAACCACGCAACACAACCCAACGTTACAATGTTCATATTTCTCACTTGCATAATTTTGACAGGATATATTTTTATGAAGAGCAAAATATTTAAAGTTAAAGTTTATTTTTTTTAAGTTTATTTAATCTGGAATAATATTCCTGTCTATTTTTATTCATATTTTGTGGAGTTTATATACAGCTGGGCGGGTGCTATGATGTCATTAAGTGTGCCTATGCCAAAAGGCACACTTATTACTATTGCTCGGATTTATTATTCTTATTATTCTTCTTCTTCTTCTTCTTCTTATTATTATTATTATTATTTTCCTTTTTCCGCCTGAAATTTTGGCGCATCCCACAGTTTTGACACAAGCTTCATATATGTTATATCATTTTGTGTGGCTGGATCAGGATTGAGTTGCTATGACTTTTGGTGTTTATTACTTCTATAGTTTTTTAAATATTAATATTTTAGTGAAAAATTTCCCGCGCTTATGTGCCGCACAGTTTTGACACAAGGGTTACATATGTTATATCATTTTGTGCGGCTGGGTCTGGACTAGTATGCTATGACTTTTGGTGTTCATAACTTTTATAGTTTTTTAAATATTTAGATTTTAGTGCAAATTTGCCTGAAATTTCGCCTCGTAACTCGCCCCACAGTTTAATGTAATTAAATTAAATTAATGTATTATTAACTAAAATAAACTACGCAGACTTGACAAAATACACATACATATATGAGGGAGATCGCGACACTGACAAAGACAAACACAAGGCTTAAATACACTGAGAGATAACAAGGAAAATGAGAGACATGAGGGAGAAACAGCTGGGAGAAATCAGACTTAACAGGACAGGGTAAGCAAAACTAGACACACTGACATGAGACACAGACCTTCAAAGTAAAACAGGAAAAAAACCATCTGAACTCTAGACATAAAAACTTAACTGAGACTGGGGAGACAGATCATAGAGGGCTTAAACACAGGACACAAAGGCACAAAAAAAGCACAACATATAACACATGAAGCCATATAACAAAACCTTAGAACTAAAACCATAATAGCCATAACCAAACCTAGGGTAAAAATAAATATAATAATCAAAACTGCAAAACAAATGATTCAGAACATAAGCCATAATACAAAATACAAAAGACTCAAAAATGCTGGGTCGCAAGGACTCAGAACCGTGACACCAAATTTTTTAGTGCTGTTTCACCATTACACTCACAGGCTGTTTTAGCAAATCTGGGCCTAATTTCTGTGAATATTTTAATCTGTATTTGTGCTGTAGCGCCACCTGCAGACAGAAGCCAGCAACCTCTATTCAACTGTTATGTAATTATGTGTGTATGAACTATGCTACATAATCAGGAATCAAACCCACACATCTGTAGCCATTTGGCACACGGGTCACCTGATCAACCAAAAGAGCTACAGCTGCATGGTTACAGCCACCATCCATCCTTTGATTGCTTAACTGAGCAGAAAGGCGCTACATGAGTATGAGTCCATATGGGTTGTCATGTTAAACAAGTGAGCAGACAAGTGGTGTGGTTACAGCCATCTTTTACATACAGTCTATGGTTCATGTCTAAGTGAAGGAGAGAAATACAGAGTACAGGGTACACACACTGGATAAAGATGTCAGAGTTTAACTGCACAGATTTCAAATGCGAGTCAGTTTGTTCAGTGATGCAGTCAAACAAGTCTGCTTCTTCAACCATTCTCCACCCAGCACCTGTAGGAGGTGTGGTCCTGTGGCTCTGCAGTGTGTGAGGTGGAGGATGAGGGGACATGGAGGAGACCACCACTCAGTGTAGCATGAACAGAATGAGAGTCAAAGTTACTTTCCTACTTACAGATAAAAACATGTGAATCACTGTGTGAAAATAATGATTTCTTTCAATTTGCATTTTGTCAGAACATGTAGCAAAGCTTGAGAGTCAGAAAACTGAGATCGACCAGCTGAAGCACGAACTACAAGGTACTGTGTCCAAATCTGATCATTTCTCTTGAAACGTTGAAATATCTGACACATTTTCATTGTCACATTTTCTGTGACAATGAAATGTTTTCAGCTGTCAAACATTTTTTTTCACTGGAGATTAAAGTTTTTGTCATAGTCACTTTTTTGGGAAGAGTCTAAAACTCTAAAACAGAAAGTTTCAAATAATGACATTTCTCTCTCTCTCTCAGTCAAACAGGTGGCTTTCTCAGTCAGTCTGCTGGATGAAGGTTATGGATACACTGGACCCTATAACACACATATGACTCTGATCTTCAAACGTGTTGTCACAAACATTGGAAATACCTACAACCCACACACAGGTAATAACACTGAATGTCTCTTCTCAGCTATGCTGATGTCAGGTTGATGTTCCAGATGTTCTAACAGCTGATTTTCCATTTAACAAAAACAAATGTCCCACAGGTATTTTCACTGCACCAGTGAGAGGAGTCTACCACTTTTACTGGACAGTATATGGAAATGAAAATATTCCTGCAGGTGCCTATTTGTTCAGGAATGGAGAGTACATTTTTATTGCATTTGAACAGCTAACATCTGGGTGGGCGAGCGCCTGTAATGGAGCCTCACTGCTCCTAGAGGTTGGAGATCAGGTGTCTGTACGTATTGATCCTGGTGCAAGGCTATATGACAATCAAAACCATCATACCACCTTCAGTGGTCATCTGATATTCACCATGTGAGAGGTGTTACACCTCGAACACTTCCTGTTTGGACTGTCATGTGTGGGCGGAGCTTAGCCATTTTTAGAAATAAAACAGGAAGTAAATCACCTGCTGGAATCAGCTTCTTGCTCTCTCTCTCTTTCTGGTTGGCTTCTAGTTTTGCGTTTATTTGTTTTTCCTTCTCTGATTCTACTGACTCAGATAATTTACTTCTTCTTGTTATCTTTGATTCAAATAAATCCAGTTAAATGCTCAGTGATTCTCTTCTCTTTGTCCTTTCTTTGAGTCGGCTCTTCATAAAGTGCTGCTCCTCCATTAGGTCATGACTATTATCTATAAGTTGGTAAATTGCATTATTTTGTTATTGCCTTTATTGTTCTGTGTTGGTCGGTCTGTTATTTTGGTGACTGCTGGCCCACATGTTTGCTTTTAACTGGAGTTTTTTTCTGTTAAGTTTAGCAAAATCCAGTTCCTCTTTTTTCTCTTCTTTGATAATCATGCAGATATTTTTCTTAAACACTTAACAGATGTTAAACTTAATCTGACTATCATGATAAAAATGTAAACAGCTGATTTAGATTGATATAAAAATGTGTGTCAGTGCTGTGGAGGAATTTCTAGAAGCTGAAATGTTTCCCTATTTTTCATCTGAATCCAAATCCAGACACCGATAACTGACTGTAAACTTACTCGGGTTCATTTCTTTCAGTTCTTTAGTTTCAAAATAAAAGCATCATTGAACTAACGCTGTTGATTTATTTATATGCGTTTCATACATAGAGCAGAGATCAAACCTACACATGCTGGGAGTTACTATCACAGGTAAAGTGACACCTGGTGTTTAGAACAAAGAGCTGCTTTTAAAACATTGTCTACAGCACAGGTGTCGAACTCCAGGCTTTGAGGGCCGGTGTCTTGCAGGTTTTAGATGTAACCTTGATACAAGACAGCTGATTTAGAGGCTAAATTACCTCCTTAACATGTCTTGAAGTTCTCCAGAGGCCTGGTAATGAACTAATCATTTGATTCAGGTGTGTTGACCCAGGGTGAGATCTAAAAACTTCAGGACACCGGCCCTCGAGGCCTGGAGTTCGACACCCCTGATCTACAAAGCAAAAATCTGGACAACATCCG